AATTAGACACACTCGGTCTACTAAGGGGTGTCTCGGGAATTAGACACACTCGGTCTTCTAAGGTGTGTTTCAGGAATTAGACACACTCGGTCTTCTGAGGGGTGTCCCCTTTTTAGCTAGCTTTATTTTGAAGATGATGTTGGTGTATTTGTTCTTGCTTCCTTGTTTTTCTGTCCATTTTTCTGTTTGCCCCCTCATTCAACTCCCCCGAGTGAATAATTGTCAATTCCCATTCGACTACTATAGTTCACTTATTGAACCCTAACCTATGCAAGTACTCATACCTGAACTTACACACCGTATCCCTATTTAATTACATCACAAGTCCTGATATTGAAAACCAGGCTAAGTACGCTGTTGGAGGAAGTTTGAACTATTATTAGGCCAACGACACAACAGTTGCTCACGTGACCGGCGGAGACAGGGTTTCACCTGTACCATGAACGTGGTCCCTCACAGTACTAGGCCAAGTACAAGGTTTCCACTGAGTCCCTTAGTCTCGTCGCTTTCTAACATGGCTACGCGAGAAATAAATTGAAAGATTACTCGAATTTTACTTGAAGAGTAATAACAACCTATCATTTGGATGACGTCACCGTGACTCCGCCACACAGTATTTTAATATGAAAACGCCTGGGAAGATTTCAAAATGATCGCTGAAGTTGAATGTTAAAGCACAGTTTCTCTTGTTGAGGCAATGTAGTTCATCATACCCGAACATACAAAAGATACAGTGCATAAAATCGGTTCAGGCTTACGTGCCCTCGCATGACGCCGATTTTACCTAATATAATGACATAGATAGAATTTGTTCACATTATTTGGGCATTGATTATTTTATATCACAGTAAAGATACGACCCCGTTACGCACTTTATTGTAACCTACTAGCAATCTTCATTTTGTTGTCTGTGTTAATATTTGTAGCACTGTACATAAAATCAATACGTTAGTATGCCTTCTATCCATACCTACGTATACTGGGCAGGAGTAATCAAGGAACACACGACAGCTTCACTTAAAACGTCACACGGTGCAAACTAACTCATCGCATTTGAAACGCTCTTTTATAACTTTGTATTCTTCATTCAGCCATTCTATTACATTTAAAGCATATTTAACACTTTCTAATCTGGTAGCTGAATAATTAGTGATAAATAAAATAATGCAGGACCTGTTTAACACTTGATAATGGTTTTTTGATCATACATGACGTCATTTGACTTGATTCCTGACGATTTTAAACGCAAACAATGTCACATCTTGAAATACTCAGAAAACTTAGAATGTCCGAGCATCCGACCGACCGATGTTTCCACTACAAGTTAATCATTTACATAGTGATGTATTCCATGTGTACATGA